TTTAGTTATGATATTGATAACACATAAAAGCAAAGAAAATCCTAAACATAGTAATCAAATAGCGGGTTGGATGAATTATCGGCTAAGAAATAAAGGACTAAGTAAAATATAAATCTACCTAGAGAATAGAACGAAACAAAGATGAGGAGCTAGAGAATCGGGAATAATGAATTCAAGCTCTAGCAAAGTCGGGCAATCAATTGTTCTGTTTAAGATCGACACTCTCGCTTAAACATCTAGCGGTTCGCTCCCAATAACTCTTCGTAACAAGGGATTGAACATAGACGAGCAAGCTCGAGCATATAACACAATTCAATTAACCAAATCCCAATAACTTTTCGTAACAAGGGACAGGTCATCGAAAGCACGTATTTCAAACCACATAGATTATGCAGCTACGAAATTATCTACCTCATGCGAGCCTAGTTCTACGACTTCTCCCCTTCCGGTTCTAAAGTCGCTAATTAAATTAGAAGAGAATTAATCAACTAATCATATTGAATCAACAAAACCCTAACTCGACTAATCAATATTCAATTATTTCTAATTGCAAGATCGAAGTGTCACTCTTCGATTATATCAATCAATCAAACAAGATTCTATCAATTCAAATAAATTCAACTCGCATAAGCATGAACACATTAGGCCCGACAGATACGTCAAACAAGAACAATCATTTCCTATCCCTAGCAATCGGAATTAGCTAAGCATATTGAATTCAACACAATAAATCAATTCTCCAAATTTCATCATTATTCACGAATTAAACTAGAGAGAAAAGAAACTTACGATTAATCTCAAGTTCGCGTGTTGAAGACGAATTACAAGCTTAATCCCAAAAAGCAAGAATAAATTCTAGATACAAATATGGAGAAGAAAAGTTGAAAGAAGAAGAAGAATCGAAGAGAATAAGAAAGGGAAAAGAAGGAGAGAGTTCGTGCTTTTTCGGGACCTAGGGTTTGCACCCCAATCGAGAGATCCTCTAATTTTTTTCCGAACTCATATAAATAGTCGCAGGAGCTCGCGCCGTGGTGGGGTCTCGCGCCACGAAGGAGCGCTGGTGTATCGCGCCATGAAGACTTGACGCGGTGCGGAGCTGGGAATAACGCACTCTGTCCACGCGTGAAGGTCGTCGCGCCATGCCCCACGGTGTGAAGGGAGTGATGTTGCCGCGGCGTGGAACTGTTGTGCGTGTCTCTGCAGTCCCGTGGTGCACGTCGCGAGAGATGCCGCTGCGCGAGGTCAGCACATTGCCGCGGCGTGATGCCTGCAACGGCGCGACGGGAATTCCTGGGCGCTCTGTCGGGTACGTGGCGGCCGCGCGGCGCGATGTGCGTGAGAGGCCTGGGTAGGTGCTTGGGCCTCATGCACATGTACACATTTTGGGGTCGTTCGGGCTCGTTCGATAAGGGAATTTGAATCCGTTTTTTCCAGTGTGTCGCCAACGAATTAATCTCTTTAACCAATTCACTCGGTCTATTTACCATGAAAAACAAATCTTCTCGAGCCTTCTAACCTACACACCAAAAACGAAAACAAAAATAGAGAAAACTGAAAAATAACCGAAAAAACACAGAAAGACTCTAGATAGAGGAAAACACAAAATAAACTACGAAATTAACCAAAAACCAACTTAAAGACCAAATATGAGAGAAAAAGAAAGATAAAATAAGCACGAAAAACGCAACAAAAATGGGACAAACAAACTGCAATGCTTCATGTCATCGATGTAAAAACTTCTTGCAACATGCTTCTTGGTCGTCCATGGCTTCACGAGAATGGCGTAGTCCCGTACACATGGCATCAATGCTTTAAATATTACAAAAATGGCATTGTAAAGACCGTGTTTTGTGATAATAAACCTTTCACAGAGGCTGAAACTAATTTTGCTGATGCCTAATAATATTTCAAAGATGTAAAACTAGTTGAGAAAGTCTTGTCTAAGCAGCATAAAGGGTCTGAGAGTGAAGATCCAAAGATTGAAAAGGTATAAAACTCTTTGAACGAGTTAGTGTTGCCGCTGCCGAAGATAAATGACGGGAAACCTATCTCCCATCCACCTACGAAGTTTGTTCGTCCAAGCAGCGGAGCCGTGACGGAACATGGTGAAAGATTGAAGAACTCAAAGTGTTTTGATCCAAAAGCCTACAAGCTTCTCGTCAAAGCAGGATACAACCCCAATGAAAGTCGCTCTTTGAGAAAGCTCATACCTCAAGAGCAAAAGCACAACCGAACATGTCTTGGTTATGTGGTACCTAGTCCGATTAGAATCGCCATCAGGAGAGCAAATGCAAATCATGTCTCGGAAGGAGAAGTATCATCCACTGACATCATAAAGAAAGGTCAAAGATTGTCGGTGTTTCAAAGACTCGGTCCAGTTCGGAAGTCTAAGGGCAAACATTCTGTGCTTCAACGAATTGGATCCTTAGAGCAGTTAAAGCCTTTAAGACAAGAAAGAAGTGCGGGTCCAGCTCCAGAGCTTAGAAGTCAAATTTTGTCACGTATGAAACGTCAAACCACCTTGGTCATATCATGTGATAAGGTTTTAAAAGCAAAAATGCACACGATCGTTCATATAAGAGTGCAGGACGATGGAGTTGAAGATAGAGAAAATGTCGCTTCGTCTTACTATGCTTGCGGTACTCTTACAACTCCTCGAGATGATGAACGTTCTCGTTTTCGAATAATATCTTCTTTGGTGAGAAAAGGGTATATCACTGGAGTTGATGAAAATGGCAGACACGACTTGTCACGAGAAGAAATGGACGGGTGAGAGCATTTATTGATTTCAAAACTCTTAGTGAGTCGAGCGAGGATATTGCTCCAGTGAACCATATCACTATATGCGAGGATACTCTGATAGAAGAAAAAGATGCCGAAGACGCACCTCCCGAGCTTGAAGAAGGTGTTAAGGCTATGGTCGATGAACTAAAAGAAATCAACTTGGGCGATGCTGACGATCCTCGCCCAACGTACATCAGTTCCTTGCTAACTGTAGATGAAGAGAAGGCTTACATAGAGCTTCTTGGTGAGTTTAAGGATGTATTCGCATGGTTATATAAAGAGATGCCTGGACTAGAACCAAAGGTGGCAGTGCATACCTTGTCCGTGAGAAAGGGGGCAAAACCTGTTAAACAAGCACAACGGAGATTCCGACATGAGTTGGTCCCGTTGATTGAAGCTGAAGTGAATAAACTCATTGAAGTTGGTTTCATTCGAGAAGTTAAATATCGTACGTGGATCTCGAGTATCGTTCTTGTCAGAAAGAAAAATAGGCAAATTCGAGTTTGCGTGGATTTTTGAGATCTTAACGAAGCGTGTCCCAAGGATGACTTCCCCTTGTGAATAACTGAACTCATGATCGATGCTACAACTGTACATGAAGCATTGTCCTTTATGGATGGTTCATCAGGATTAAATCACATACGCATGTCGCCAAGAGACGAAGAGTTGACTGCATTTCGCACTCCAAAGGGCATATACTGCTACAAAGTGATGCCTTTTGGCTTGAAGAATGCTGGAGCTACCTATCAAAGGGCAATGCAAAAGATATGACATACTCCACAAAAACATCGAGTGTTATGTTGATGATGTCGTGGTAAAGTCAAAGAAGCGAGAAGACCACCTAAAAGATTTGAGGATGGTTTTTGAACGTCTGAGAAGATATCAACTAAAGATGAATCCATTGAAGTGTGCATTTGGTGTCAAGTCGGGGAAGTTTCTTGGGTTCATTGTTCATCACCGTGAAATAGAGATCGAGCAAGCAAAAGTCGATACAATACTAAGGATGCTCGAGCCGCGCAATATTCACGAGCTTAAAAGTCTGCAAGGGAAGTTGGCGTATCTTCGAAGGTTCATCTCAAATCTAGCCGGGCGATGCCAACCTTTTAGTCATCTAATGAAGAAAAGTGTTCCTTTTGAGTAGGATCAATCTTGTACAAATGCTTTCGAAAGCATAAAGGCATATCTGATGAAGTCTCCAGTGTTAGTCGCACCAGTGTCTGGTCGTCTTCTTATTCTTTACATAGCAGTACAAGAACGTTCTGTTGGAGCATTGCTGGCTCAAGAAAATGATGATGGGAATGAGAGTGCGTTATATTATTTGAGCAGAACGATGACGCCGAACGAGCTGAACTATTCACCGATTGAGAAAATATGTTTGGCACTAATCTTTGCAATTCAGAAGTTGAAGCATTATTTTCAAGCTCATACGAGTCATCTTGTTTCAAGGGCAAATCCATTGAAATATGTCATGACAAGACCCATCCTCTCAGACCATCTAGCTAGGTGGTATCTTCAACTTCAACAGTTTGAAATTGTCTACATCCCTCAAAAGGATGTAAAAGGACAAGTTCATGCAGACTTCCTAGCTGATCACCCTATTCCTGCTTAGTGGGATTTGTCCGATGAACTACCCGATGAAGACGTTCTTCTCATTAAAATTACTCCACCTTGGAAGATGTACTATGATGGAGCGTCCCATAGAGAAGGAGCTGGTGCTGGAGTCGTCTTTGTGACATCCAATGAAGAACTGCTTCCGTATTCCTTCACTTTGACTGAAAATTTCTCAAACAACGTTGCAGAGTATCAAGCTCTAATTCTAAGGTTGGAGATGGATGTAGACATGAAGCAGCTGCATCTAAAGGTATGGCGATTAAAAGCTAGTGGTAAACCAACTGCTTGGAGAATACGATGTAAAGAAGCCCGAGTTACTCCCGTATATTGACTATGCGAGAAGGATCATGGGATGGCTTGGAGATGTTACGTTTGAACACGTGCCGATAAAGAATAATAAACAAGCTGATGCTTTGGCAAAACTCGCTTCTTCACTCATTCTCCCCGAGGATAAGGCTCGAGTGAAAATTTGTAGAAGTTGGGTTATACCCCCGATTTTCGACGATGATGATTGGAATTAAGATGAAATTCATGTGGTTGAAGTATTTGAAACTGAAAAGGAAGATTGGCATCAATTGCTCGTGGATTACTTAAAGTATGACAAGTTGCCCAACAATCCACGAAAAAAGATTGATGTTCGACGTCGTGCGCCTCGCTTCATTTATTTTAATGATGTGTTATATAGACGATCGTTCGACGGAGTGCTCTTGAGATGCTTAGGCGATGAAGAAGCTGATCAAGCCATTGAAGAAGCTCACTCGAGCATCTGTGGCGCTCATCAGTCTGGTCAGAAGCTACACTTTCAAATTAAGAGAATGGGATACTATTGGCCGACAATGGTTAGGGACTGCATAGATTATGCACAAAGATGTCAAACGTGTCAATTTCATGCAAATTTGATCCATCAGCCTCCTGAGTCGTTGCACCCTACTGTCTCTTCATGGCCTTTTGATGCTTGGGGATTAGATGTGGTCGGTCCTCTAACAAAGTCAGGTGGTCATCTTTATATTTTGGCTGCGACCGACTACTTTCCAAAATGGGCTGAAGCGGTTCCCTTGAAAGAAGTTAAGAAAGAAAACGTTGCTGACTTTATTCTGGTGAACATCATCTACCGGTATGGAATTCCAGGGTACATAATAACGGATAATGGAAAGCCTTTCAGCAACATCTTGATTGATAAGCTTTGAGAGAAGTTCAACTTTAAGCAAAGAAAATCTTCCATGTATAATGCTGCGGCTAATGGACTTGCTGAAGCGTTCAATAAGACTTGATGTTGTCTTTTGAAGAAAGTCGTAGCCAAGTCAAAGAGAGATTGGCACGGAAGAATTCATGAAGCGATTTGGGCGTATCGCAGCACCTTCGGACTCCCACTTAAGCGACTCAAAACTCGCTGGTATATGGTGTTGAAGTTGTCGTTCCCCTCGAACAACAAATCCCATCATTGAGGATCGCCATACAAGAAGGGTTGACCGAAGAAGATAATGCACGACTGCGTCTTTAGGAATTAGAAGCTCTTGATGAGAGGAGGTTGGAAGCGAAACAAAGACTTGAATGTTATCAAGCTCGTCTCTCTAAGTCGTTTAATAAGAAGGTTCAAGCTCGTTCTTTTCAAGTAGAAGATTTGGAACTTGCTGTGAGAAGACCCATCATAACCACTCATCGTGTTGGAAACAAGTTCGTGTCAAGATGGGATGGACCATATGTTGTCACAGAGGTCTACACCAATGGCACGTACAAGCTGATTTCGAAGGATCGAGTCAAGATTGGCCCTATCAATGGGAAATTCTTGAAGCGCTATTATGCTTAGTTGTATTTTGTATTTGAAAAAAAAAACCAAGAAAAAAAAGAGAACTCCTGACCCACATGAGTATAAACTATGAACGGTAATCGCCAAAAAGCTTTGCATGTGATTAAACTGCTAAATACTCCACCGATGTAAATATATGTGGTTAAACTGTTAATTCTCCCATTAAGGAGTTATGTGGTTAAACCTAATACTCTACTTGTCTAAAGTAGTTAAAGAATAGTCACTCCTGGCCCGCATGAGTATAAACTGTGCACGGCGCCCCTCATAAACAAATACATGTTGATGTTACTTTGAACTACTTTTTGACTTGATCCTTTTTAAAAGGTACGTAGGCAGCTTAGATATTTTCAAGTTCAGTCATGAATTATATTCGTCTTCTAAGATAGTCAATTTTGATTGATTTGGCGAGGAAATAAAGTGCAATAAATGCCAATGATTGAGACTGCATAATGTGAAAAGAAACAAATCATTCTATTCCATAACTTTGAGTCTTATTACATGAAGAAATGAACGAAAGAGTCGCAAACATGCCTAAGCAAAAGGGTTCAAACTCCCTAGCTTCTCTTTAGTCGCCTTCAGATTTGACTTCAACATCTTCAACTATTCTACCACTTCTTCGTCCAATGGTGGAGCACTGCTGATGGCAAGGATCTCCTCTTGAGTTAATTTTACCTTGGAGCACTGCTGCTGCTTCAATGTCTGGGATAATGTTTGTGACTTCGCCTTCAACTGCTCAAGCTCTTCCATGACTCGCTTTAGCTCAGCCTCAGTTGACTTTTCTTGATTTGATTTAATATCCTCTTTCACCTTATCTTCATGTAGACGATCTTTAGCTTCAGCCAACTTTCGAGCAATATGTACCTTCGTCGCCTTCTCTGAATATTACGACCGTACTCCATCGTAAGAGTTGGCATTGTCAAACAAGACCTTTAACGGGCTCTCAATGGTGGAAAAGTTAAACTTGTCGCATTTCTTCATGGCATCGAAAACAAGTGACACGTCTTCTTTTATGGAAGACAAGGAGTCGATAGGAGTCGCCATGACCTTTTCACAGAGGTCGTACCACATTTCTTAAAGATACTTCTTTTGGCGGTTAAGAAGGAACTTCTTCCCTTTGAACTCTGAAATGGTTGGAGTATGAAGCTTTTGTTCAGTAGTAGGTTTTTTCGCGCATGATGGAACGTTTGCTACGAAAGTCCCTTCATCGTCTTGCGACTCTTCATTATCGTCACAACCAAAGACATCCCGTCGCGCCTTAAAAACAATAATGAAACACATATATCAATCAAAAAGAAAACTCAAGGTAGAAGTAAAGAAGAAGAGATGGAAAACCTTAGCAATGAGGTCCTCTCTCTTGCGTTGATTCTCTACCGCTTTTTCAGCATGCTGCTGGGAACCAGACTGCTGTTTTGCTCTCTTCCAATGTTGGTCGGCATTGTTGCTTTCTTCTAAAGAGGTGGACCCACTATTTCTCTTATTGGTCCCAGAAATTCTGGCGAGAAGCGCATCATCATCTTCACTTGCAGGATCACTCTGGTCAATAACTGGGTCTTTGTCTTTGAAGATATCACTTTCAACTTTGATGCAAGTAAATCCTCTATATGGCACTCAAGATAGCCTCCATAAATTTGATGCCACCATAATTTATAAGCTGGTGTTGATTTCATTGCATTTGTTGAGGCACAAGGCAACGAAGCTTTAGATGAGGATCCGCATAGAACGCTCAGTTTCCAATAGTAAATTCCGTCGTCAAAAAAGCCCTCGCGAAAGTCTTTGTTTAAAGTGCCAGGAACATCTTGATAATAACCAAATTGGCGACTGAATCGATGAGGACTATACGGCTCGATTAAGAAGCGATGCCCTTGACGCCACGTAAGGTAGTTAGATCAAATCGCTATGAAGTACCTGCTTTCATATCTAGGTCTTCGTTGATCATTGACGTATTAGGAAGTATGGTCTTTGATGATGATATTGCAAGTCCATGAAGCGGAGTCCCCTTTGTGGATACGTCTGCAGGCTTCCTCCGGGTCAAAGTGTCTTACGCTGTCTCACCGGAATATGTCACCATCAAGAGCTTATGCGTTTGACCAATTGCGAAGTGAGTTTTAAAGTAGAGCGCCAGCCAACTGTAAACGAAGTGGATGGGAAATGTCGATCGAGATAGACTTGTGCAGCTTGTAAGCTCGTTCAACCCCTTGTAGATGCTCATTAAGACCGGAACTGTGAGGCCGACCATATAACCCTTGGCCATCATGCTTGCTATCTTGAAGCTGCCCGGGCGAATTATGTTGATGTCGCCGTTGGAAAGGACGAACGTGCAAATCTAACAAGAGAGGTACGCCGCCAAGTGAATTTTTTCTTGCAGCTTTGGCTCGATCACAACCATCTTCTTGAACAATTGATCTTCGACGGAGGTCCAGCGTCGATGTTCTTCAAAAGTACCGGGCGGATTTTGAGTTGACTTGAGGCGAATGATCCTCTTCTTCTCTCCGTTCCTCTTGTCGGCACGATTGGGAGGTTGTCGGTATTTGATAGTCTTCTTCGACAAAAAATACACCCATCGATCAATTGTCACTTGTCCATCATTGGTTACTTTGCACAGTAGATGATAGGCGTGGAAGAGCTATCTGCAGCAGCGAGGAAGACATAAATTCTTATCTTTGTTGGTCCCAATCAACTTGTTTTCATCTGGCACCACCTCGTCGAAAATGAACCTAGTCAATGGAAGTCCTGCCAATGTATGAAGATCCCATAGAGAAATCGAAAGCTCCCCGGAAGACGTTAAAAGTGTGTTGTTAGAAGGACACAACGCCTCGCAAAATGCCTTGATTATATCGGGATTGCAGTCGTAGGTGAAGCGCGAGGCGTAAACAACATCATATATCTCCGCCTTGATCAGGTTGCTTCTGCATCGGCTAAGTATGTCTTCTGTCCACTCCCAGTACCCTCTTATGTAGTGGAATTCGCCAATAAAGTTGATGGTTTCTCCCCATGCAGCTTCACCTCGTATGATGGGTTGTCCTAGAGTTGGCAATGGTAACGACTCTGTCTCGTTCTGTGGGTTGTGGTGAGTCGCTTGTAAGATCCATGCTTTTACTTCCCGTAGGCACACTCTTGAGTCCACTCGCTCACATAGTTTGCAACTGTTGGCCACGTCTTCGAAAAATCACCAATGATTGGTTCTTCAACTGCAAAGTGAGTCCCTTTCTCTAGCGGGTCATGTTTGGCGTCTAGAACTACTAGATATCGCTTTTCCCGAATCGAAGTGCTCGTAAAGTAGACCATCTTGCTAGCTACGATCTTAGGGATTGAGAAGAAAATTAGAATTTAAATTGTAAAGAACCAATTGGTTTGAAGTAAATAAGTTTGGTGACTTACGAGTGAAGCTTGGTGTTTAACAAATCTAAACCACGATCGCTCGTCGTTTTTTGAATGCTGCAAAAAAAAAAAAAGATTAGCTATGCAATGAAAAGGACTATCAATTTAAACATAAAAGACGGATTCCAGTCAGTTTCAGCTATTTTTATCAGCCATAAGAGCACCCGAACAGATCTCGGTTCAGCCCGACAGCTCCGAACAGCCTCGGTTCAGCCCAGAAGCTCCCGAAATGTCCTGGTTCAGCCCTGCTTCAGCCCGGCAGCTCCCGAAAAGCCATGGTTCAGCCCCGCTTTAGCCCAACAGCTCCCGAACAGCTCCGGACTGCTCTTGAAAAGCCACAATTCCGCCCCGCTTCAGTCCGACAGCTCCTGAACAACCTCGGCAGCTCCCGAACAATGGCAAGAGAGCTTCGTTTGACCCTAGACGACTCCCGAAAAGCCACTTTTCGCCCCAAATAGCCCCGAAAGCAACCGAACATGCATACATGCGTCTCGAACAGCTTTGCGAGTGACCCGAACAATATGTGGCAGCAAAACAAAAGAAAGAAGAATATTTAGAAGAAAGAAAAGTGGCAATTGATCGAACGCTTTGCTGCAGAAAAGTTGGAAGTGGGATGTTTATGTTCTCTCTGATGTAGGCCACCCAAAATTTTGATAGCAGCAACACAAACAGAAAAGCACGAAAACGTATAAGCCTAACCACTGGAAGCAGCAACAAAAAGAAAAAAAAAGGAGAAGAAGAAAAAATATACCCGTTGGTTAACTCCTCGTGGAGTGATAACAGAGGCTAAAGGACTCCCTTTTATAGGAGAGAACTTATGTAATTTTGGAATTTTTCTCTCCTGATATCAAGAGGAATTGGCCTGGGCACATGGCTTGCCGAATTTTTAAAGTTGGAAAGAAAATATTTCGATGATGAGGCTTAGTACGTTGAGTTTTGGAAAGTAAATATTCCACTTGAGTTTGGAATTAATTTGCCTATGCGTGTATATTTTTTTGGTGGAAAATGCATATGCATGGATTTTGTGGTTGAAGTTAATTATTTATTGCTAGATTTAAAAGAGATTGAGCTTTGCATGGGTTATAAAATCGGTCTGTGCATGTGTATTTGGGATTGAATTGGAAGATGTGAGTTATTTTCTTGGACTAAGTGGGCTACGCAAATTTCCTTTTGGGCCATCCGCTAATTTCTTTAATTATATAGAAAATGGGCTTGAAATTGGAAAAGTGTTTATGTGTTTGGTTTAAACACTAAGGCCCACTATTTGTCCAACTTGTATGACACAAGTATGTTAATGGGTTTTAAATTTTGAAGCCCCAAATTTCCAATCTCATGATTTGTCTCAAGTGGCTTAGATGATTGGGCCTGCCACATGATGTAAGAAAGTCGCGACTTATTCACTTCAAGACGCGTCGTCCATGAACAAGTCTCGAGGGGGCATTTGTAGATGACGAAAATTTGTGTTCAATCAAATTGCGCCACATGGAAATTAATTTATTAATGGTGGCTCTAGTTTTGAGCATTTGAAGTACAGTTGTGCTGTTGTCTTTTTCTATCTTATTTTTATTTTTGTGAGGTGTTGGAGATCTCATTTATACGCAAAAAATGGTAAAAATACTATTATGATCGATTGTCGCCCTGATGGCTGGGTGATTAACGCGTGGTGCAATGCAGAAATCCATCTTTTGAGGGAAGAACGTATTATCCATTCCTGCGGGACAAGACTAATTGGTAAGTGAGATAAGACCTTTTGCGCGGTGGTTTCACCGACTTGATTTGTCATAGAATGTTCACATATGCTGTAATATCCCGTTATTTTATCAGTATAAATTATGTTTTAGTTCCGATATATTAATATTGTCGAGTATTAATTTTCGAAATTAATTATTTTCAGTCGAAATTACCGAAAATTATTTTCGACGTGTCGTTTACGTTCGGAATAATTTTGGTAATTAAGTATTATGCTTAAAAGTTAATAAAGCATAATTAGGTGATTAATTAAACATTAATCACACATTAAGGTTAAAAGCCATACGGAAAATTTCCCAACATTCAAGCTTAAAGCCGTGAGAAGTCTTTAGCATAAGGAAAGATTTTTCCTTCCAATTCTAGCAATTACACGTGTCCTTAGTTGGGGTTTAAGGGGATGATTAGTCATCATAAATAATCTAATTGATGAGCACATGTCAAGCTTAAAAATGGCCACATCCAAGCATCATCATCCCCCAAATTAGTTGCTCCATTCGGTTTTAGTATATATAAGGGTGTTTGGTCCGAAAATTTCCCATCTCTTTATATCATATACACGTCTTCATACATCTGAGGTTAAGAGTGGGAGAGTTAGTGAGATTAGTAGAAGTTCTTGAGTATTGAAGGCACGACAAGTAGCAACAGCCACACGCCGAAGCATCGTACGCTTAGCTTACCGCACACGGACACGCGCACGCGAGGACTAAGGGAGGTTACGATCAGTTTTGTGATTTCTGACGAGCACTTGAGGAGGTAAAGCCATCCTCAAGCTCTTTTTATGATAATAAGTTCATATAAGGTAGAATTTTGCAGCTCATGTTTCAAGATTTCATAGATATGTCATGATAGGTTAGGTTATGCCTAGTTAGATCATGATCGAGTAACTTCTTGTTTTGTCCGGCAACTCATGAACAATTCACGTTTATATGATCAGTTTAAATCATTTTATACTCAGTTACTTCATGTTGGTCGAAGAAAAATATCGTTTATCCCTGAATTGGCTCAAAGCCGTCGCCAGCGCACGTTGCGCATGGCCTCGGGCCGTCCCAAGTCATGTTATGTTATCTCTTGTTATAGTCAAGTTTGTCCGTGCAGTTTATGTCTTAATAGCTTCAAAATGATGTTTCATGTTTAGTTGATCTTGAGTTGCCGAGAGAAAAGTGGAGTCGGTCAAGAGACGGCCTATCGCCGTCGGCGGCGCACGGCGCGCTCGCCACGGCCTTATTCAGTTGATCGTGCAAAAATGTATATTTTCAAGTGATTTCAGTAATCATGTTCATGTCATATCAGGTTATGTTATTTAAAGTCAGATTGCATGGGAGTTATTGCCAAACGCCCGGCAGCCAACCGCGCGACTGGTAGCGCACGCACGGGCCTACGAGGTACTGCGCGTTACATGTCTGCGGAGGCAGTCGCTGGCAGTGCCCGTGGCACGCCAGCCAGTCGCCGCGCGCGCCAGCATGCGCGTGCGAGTTCCAGTGACCGCTGTGGCGCACGGTAGCGCCCAGCAGCGGCAGTAACGCTTGC